ATATAAGTTTCTTGGTTTTGACACAGTGAACTATTATGACTCCTCTGTAAATTCTTTCTTCATTTTTATTTTGGACAGCTTTTATTGTTATATTCATTTATGTTTGTAAATAATTTATTTTCAATTTGCAGTCTATTAAAATAAATAAAGGAAAAGTGAAAAAAAAGTAATATTTAAAAAATGTAGGTTACTGCAAGAAGATGCCTAGAAATTGCATATATTGAACCAGACTACTTACTGTGTATCAGTCCTTGGTTGACAGGAAGTTATACTGACTCATGTATTTAGGGGTGTAGCTCTGTGTTAGAGTGGTTGCCTAGCATGCCCAAGGCCCTGGGTTCAATCCCCAACACTGCAGAAAGATGTGTTTTGTATGTTTCAACTCTCCACAATGAATGTAATCATTATGTGCTGCAAACCATTACCAATAAAAAAAATTGAAGGAAAAAATGTTATTTGAGGCTGGAGAGATAGCTCAGTGGTGTAAGCACCTGCCTGGTAAGTGCAAGGTCTGAAGTTCAGTTCCCAGTACTGGAAAAAAAAAAGAGAGAATGAAAGGAAGAAATAGAAAACTTACTTTGTCGTTCTGGGGAACTTCATTTTTCCAGCTTTATGTCATAAACTTTTAAAATTATCTTTGAAATATAAAAAGGACTCTCATGTGTGCTGCATGATCTCTGTGGGTGGTTTTTGGGTTTTTTTGTTTTTTTTTTTTCAGAACCAGGGATTGAACTCAAGCCCTTGCGCTTGCCAGGCAAGTGATTATTCTACTGAGCCATCTCCCCGGCCCTCTCTGTGGGTTTTTAAAAAAAATATATTTCTCTTTATTTCAGCAGACATTTATTTAGTGAATAGTTGGACGATCTGGTATGTGAATCCTCAGGAAGCCCTTAATCAGATGTGGAGATACAAAAATATAAACGTTGCACAATCATGGAAATCCCTTTCTGAAACATGTTAAATATTAAAGTAGGCTTCTTTAGAAGGGCATGATGATAATGCTTGACAAGTAGAAACCCCATAACTGAAGGCATATTTCTTTTCCAAATGTGCACATATTCAATTACACTTTTGCCCTAGGTTATAATATTCCAACCAGAGTGCCCTTTTAAATCCTTGAAGTTCTTAGAGCAGTTGGGAAAAGTATGAATCACTAATTTTTTAATTAAAGAATTAAATTGGAGGCCAAGGATTTAGCTCAGTGGTGCAGCGCTTGCCTGGCAAGAGTGAGGTCCAGCATTGGATTCCTGGTACAAAAAAAAGAATGAGATTCTTCCTACTTTGTATTGAACATAGATAAATTACATGTGATCTGGGCATGGACAGGCAAGTAGGCCCAGCAGCCGGAAGGCTGAGGCAGGAGGCTCACTTGGCCTGAGCAACATAGCAAAACCCAAAGTGAAGCACATTCTGAATCTGTTTGAGTGTGATATTGAGGCGCAGATGAAACAGCCTCGGTCTTTTGAGGACTATCATTAAAAGACTCTTTAAAGCAGACCACTTGGGCCTGCGCCGCTGCTGCCGTCGCTGCTTGTGGCCTGGCATTGTTCCAGTGTGCTGTCGCCGCCTTCCTCTCAGAGCACTGCCCCACAGGCCGTGGCAAATGTGGCTGAAACGAAGCCGTATGATATCCTGGGCATCCCGCCCACCACCAGAGAGAACAAGCTGCAAAAGGCATACAGAAGGTTAGCCGAGAAATATCATCCTGATAAGAATCCAGATGCTGGGGACAAATTTAAAGAAATAAGTTTTGCATATGAAGTACTGTCGAATCCAGAAAAGCGCGAGTTACATGACAGATATGGAGAGCAAGGTCTTCAGGAAGGCAGTGGCAGAGGTGGTGGCGTGGATGGTACTTTCTCTCACGTTTTTGGTGGAGGTTTATTCGGCTTCATGGGCAATCAGAGTACAAGTTGAAATGGCAGAAGAAGAGGAGAGGACATGCTGCATCCGCTCAAAGCATCCTTAGGGGATCTGTATAATGGCAAAACAGCCAACTACAACTTAGCAAGAATGTACTCTGTAGTGGCCAGCGTGGGAAGTCGAGCTGTCCAGAAGCATAGTGCTTGTCAAGGTCGAGGCGTACGCATCATGAGCAGGCAACTGGCTCTGGGAATGATATAGCAGATGCAGCCTGTCTTTTCTGATTACAATGGAGAAGGAGAGGTAATTAATGAAAAGGACCTCTGGAAAAAATGTGAAGGGAAGAAGGTAATTAAAGAAGTCAAGATTCTTAGGGGCGGCCAAATAGCTCAGCGGATTAAAGCTCCTGCAAGCAGGCACAGGGGCTGGGGTTCAGTCTCCAGGCCTGCTGTGCCTGCTCTGCCCTGGGGCATGCTGAGACTGGCAATTGAGACTGGGTGTGATGGTGCGTGCCTGTAATCCCAGCTCTTGGGAGGCTGTAAATAGGCGGATCACTACGATTCCCATCTAGTAGTGAGACCCTGAACATCCTGTAGACCTTTCCCTAAAATACAAAAAAAAAAAAAAAAAAAAAAAAGTCAAGATTCTTGAAGTTCATGTAGACAAAGGCATGAAACATGGACAGAGAATCTCATTTACTAGGGAGGCTGACCAGGCCCCAGCAGTGGAACCAGGAGACATTGTGCTTTTGCTGCAGGAGAAAGAACATGCTCCAGAGAGATGGGAATGATTTACACATGACGTATAAGATAGGACTTGTTGAAACTCTATGTGGATTTCAGTTTACTTTCAAGCACCACCTTGTTGCGTCAGATTGTGGTAAAGTACCCACCTGGCAAAGTACTCGAACCAGGATATGTTCATGTAGTCCGAGGTGAAGGAATGCACAGTGTCGTAATCCCTTTGAAAAAGGTGATCTTTACATAAAGTTTGATGTGCATTTCTGGAAAACAACTGGATCAACCCTGATAAGGTTTCTGAACTAGAAGATCTTCTTCCATCTAGAGCAGAAATTCCTAACATAATTGGAGAAACTGACTAGGTAGAGCTCCAGGAATTTGACAGCACTGGCGGCTTGGGAGGCGGTCAGAGGCAGGAAACCTATAAGGATAGCTCTGATGAAGAAAGCAGCAGCCATCATGGGCCTGGGGTGCAGTGTGTGCCTCAGTAGACTGCAGACAACTCGTGCAGGTGGAGTTTCTATCCACATTTGCCTCATTTGTCCCCAGCAAGCCAGCGGGAGTGTGCTCCGTCTAGATGAACTGATGGACATCTGTTGGTGTCTGTTAACTTTTAAAATTGGTATAGTGTCTTACAGAGGGCATAATTGAAACTGAGCACAAAGCTTTACGCCTTCATTTTGATTGTTCTGTAACAGAATAAGGCACTTGAAAGGAAACAGGACTCCCTTTCATACTGGGTTATAAGTTTCAGTCCTGTGTCTGTGCTTTTTATCAGTTTTGTGTAGATTTTATGTTCCTTATTTTAAATTCAGATCCCACATTGTAAAGTTTGTACAGTTTGCCCCGAAGCTTTGTGTTGGCTGCACCTGCATAAACTGCTACAAATAGAATAAAGAATCTCAGAGCCTGTATCTATCATTTAGATACATGGAAAAATGGGCTTTGTATGCAGTGGATTTGGAGCTGGCTGGGAACAATGGGAAAATTACATTAGCAGTGGTTGTAAAGCTTTTTGTTTTTTTAAAACCATCTTGTGAAAGGTGTCTAAAACTTGATAATAAAAAAAGCAGTTGGTTTTACTTGCTTCACTTAATTTTTTACCCATTTTTTTCAGTAAATTTAGTGTATGCAATCTGTAGAGAGTTAAGTGGTTTGTTATTTTAAGCAAAATACTCACTAATCTACTTTTGGCTGTATGAGGAGATGTACGGGATGGCTCATTATAGTAAGTAGCATCATCATTCAGCCTTTACTATGTCTGGCTTTGTTCATTGGATTTTAGTGTTTCCAAGGGCTACTTACGTTGTAGGAAGTGTCGATTCTTTTTTATGGCTGAATAATATTCATATATACCATATTTTTCCATGTGTTAGTTAACAGGTATTTGGTGTTTTCCCACCTTTTAGCTGTTGTGAACAACACTGTTATGGACATTGATTTACAAGTTTTGTGTGAAAGTACGCATTCAGTTTTCTTGAATATATACCCAGCAACAGAATGCTGGGTCATAGGATAATTCTGTGAAGAACTGCCAAGCTGTTTTCAAAAGTTGCTACACCATTATGCACCCCCCCAAAAAAGTTCAGACACCATTGTGCAATTCTGTCAGCAGTATAGCAGGGTTCCAGTTCCTTCACAGACTCACCAACACCTGTTGGTGGGCAAGTGAAGGGAGGAAAGGTTTACTTGGCTCACAGTTTGTAGAAGCTTCAGTCTATAAGCAGCTGGCGGTAAGGCAGGGTAACACAGCAGACGGGCATCACGAGGAGAAACAGTTCACGGTGGGCAGAAGGCAGCACATCAGCCAAGTATCGAGAAAGTGGCAAGCAACAGGCAGTGACAGTAGCAGCCCTCCTCTGTCCCTTGTATTTTATCCAGGCTACCTGCCCCTTAGGGTAGTACACACCAGGGGTGGGGGCAGCCTTAATCTTCTCACTGTATCATGAATCAATCCCAGCATCATACAGTCTAGATGTGTGAAAAGCTCCACCTATGTCCCCATGAGGTTTTGGAGGAGCGTCTAGATACAAGTCATAGCAGGGGAGTTGTTCTTAAGGTTTTTAAAGAACATATGTATGTACTTTGCTAAACTTTTGAAATATAGGGTTATGGAATTTGGTAAAGACTGTTGTAAATGTGTTAAAATGGTATACTATTTCCTGCTGTATTTGAGTGATCCTGTGTATGCTTTTCTTTTTTATCTTAGTTCAGTCAAAGAGTGCTGGTCCTTTGAAATCAAAACATCAGCTAGACTTGGAGCGTGCTCATTTCCTTGTTACACAAGCTTTTGATGAAGATGAAAAACAGAATATTGAAGAAGCTATAGAATTGTATACGGAAGCTGTGGATCTCTGTCTGAAAACTGTATGTATAACTAGGTTAAATTTGGTGGAATTATGTTAAGAAACTTCTTTTACTAATTAATTTTACTTAACTCTTTGAAGAAAGTGAGTTCTATTATTATAGATGTAACTTAAGGTAGTCATTACCAAAAGATGGTGAGGCCAGGTCTTATACATGCTTACAAGCCCAGCTGCTTGGGAGGCTGAGGCAGTAGGATTTCAAGTCCCAGGATAGCACAGGCAATTTTCAGGGACTCTGTCTTATTAAAGTTAGAAAGTGGTTAGTTGTGTAGATTAGTAGTAGAGCCCTTATGTGGCATTAGTAAGGCCCTGGGTTCAAGTCCCAAAGAACCCTTCCCCTCAAAGTAGAATCACAGTTTTCTTTTTGTTTTGTTTTGTTGTACCGGGGATCAAACTCAGGATCTTGTGCTTGCTAAGCAGGTGCTTATTAAAGTTTTATTCTATTGAATAAGCAGTTGAGCTTTTAAGTCATAGGTACTAATTTTTAACCTGCTTCTATTACAGAAAGAATTTGTCATCACAAATTATGAATTTATAATAAACTTTTTTAGCTTTATATAGTTAAAAAATAAGATAGGATATTAGTTTGGAAGAGCTTCATTAATTTGTAATGTTAGTCTAAGCAAGGTGGCCTTGTACAGCTCCCTCGGGAGCCTCCTTCAGTTCAGAGAGCATCTGCTGCTTAAGAGCATGCGTTTGGCAGGAAGACAGGGTGAAATGGTAGAGCTGGGTGTTCCCAGGGTCATTCACAGTGTCAGGACCCCCACCACACCCCTACATCCCCACCCTCCAACCTTCATCCCCTCGTGGATACATGCATTGAACTCAGGGAGAGCTGAGCTATGTTCCCAGAACTTTTTGTATTTTATTTTTTAGTTTGAGACAGGATCTTGCTAGGTCACCCAGCCTGGCCTAAAACTTGCAATTCCCCTGCTTCAGCCTCATTCATTGGTCTTTAAGTTCAACTAAATAACAAGTTTTCAACACTGTTTTAAATGGTAATCTTTAAAGATGAAAGCAAAATGTGTCCTTTTTGTTCATTCAATTCATAATTTCAAGAAGTATAATGTGCATTGTAACTTTTTAAAAATAGAAATATCATGGATCAAGCAAATTAAAAAATAATTATGCTTTAGGATGTCTATCTCTTTCTTTCTCTTAAGTCTTCTGAAACTGCTGATAAAACCCTGCAAAATAAACTGAAACAGTTGGCTCGACAGGCACTAGATAGGTGAGTTTGGTCACTTGGTCACTCAAGTGCTAACTGGTGGATGGCATGTGTTGTTACTTGTTACATAACAGATTTGTCTTGTTGTGTTGCACATGGTAGGTCATGGTAGCAGACCTTCATCGCCTTCATCTTGGTCTAGAAGTCTGTCTTCTTCAAATAAGTGGGTTTATCTACTTCCTCTTTTTAGTTTTCTTTTTTAACCTCAAGAAATAACCAAGCAATCAAGAAATAGTTTTAGTTTTTGGTACTAGAGTACAGAAATGACTGTGGTGTTTGAAATGGATGACTTTTCTTATGTTGTAGTATATCAGACTTCAAAGAGGAGCATCTCTAGGGGTGCTTCCAGAGCTGCTCTAGGAAATAGGTTGAGAATCGTCCTGCTTCCAGACATGTGCATTCCCAAGTTGTCCCGTATGTCTACCTCTTTCACCTCCAGTTGGTGTCAGCTTTGCATTGAGGCCTGCCATAACTGGTCTATTCAGAATTGAGTAATATCTAGCATTTCTGTCCTGCTTAATCTCTTCTAATACTCTTTCTCATAGCTCTGACCACTAAGACATACGATTTGTATTTGTTCATCCTTTCAACCCTCATCCCCCAAATATAAGCTCTACAAAGATAGAACTGTGCCTGTTGGCTTAGTGCTATAGCCAGGCACATAGCAGAACTCATGTGTCATGCATGCTTTCAGTTATTTGTTGAAAGAATGAATGGGTGTATATACGAGAATCATACCTCTTGAAGGAGTTTTGTAGATAACGAAAAGGGTAGAAACTGTATCTGTAGCATGAATTACTAAAATTATCTCCCTTTGAGGTTCTGACCAGATAGTTGCATTTATTGAGGTATGTCGTTCTTCCTTTTCATCACCACTGTCAACTAACCTTGAGTTTGTTTCCCCAAATTCATGAAGATATGAACACATGGCACGTAGTTAGTTGTCTTGTTCAGCTTGACTTTTTCATTAGAATCATAGCCGACTTTTATTGCCTATCTAGTATTTCTGAGTATTACCTTCTAGTAGCTAACCCATTTAGTATTTCTGAGTTCATTCTAAGCTGGGGATAGAGGGTTGTCAGTAATGAGTACCTTTGAGAATCTGTTGAAAATTATACTCTAGAAAAATGTACACCTGTAACATTTTGTGTATAATTTCAGAGTGTTCACAAAACCCGAGTCCTTTATGGACCTCAGGTTAAGTAGAACTTCTACTTTTAAGCTTCTTTTTTGACAGAGCAAAGCCAAAATTCCCATGTACAGTGTGTGAGGCCTTCCATAATCCACTCCTGCCTTCCTGTCCTCCCACTTGTACTTTTTACAGGATGTGTATCTATCCGTTCCTTAGACACTAACCCACATACACGTTCTCTGTTTAAGAAAGCTTCTTCATTCCCCAGGTGAGCTCTGTGGCTTCAGTATCCGTTCAAAGCAGCCTTCCCTTCCTTTTTTCTAGTCATCCAGCCAGTAGTTTCTTTCATGCATTCTTTCACATCTGTCCTGGCATCTGTCATTTTGATGTAGTCATCTTTCTCTACAAACCATGGGCATGGGGCTGTGGAAGTAGCTTGGCAGTCTGAGCGCTTGCCTGGCAAGTGCAAGGACCCAGGTTCAGTCCCTGGTACCACATGCCACACTGGCTCTGGAACCCCAAGTGTGCCATGCTGGCCACCAAGACTGGGCCTGGTGGTGCATGCCTGTAATCCCAGCACTGGGGAGGCTGTGATAGGAGGATCACTACGAGTCCAAGCTGCATAGCAAGACCCTGTACCAAATAAATAAATAAAAGATTCAAAAAACAAAAACCATGAGCACCTTGCTAGTAGGAACTGTTTTATACTCTCTTATATACTGCTTACCTTGTATATATAGTATCTAACATACAAGAAGTGTTCAAGTAATGTCAGTAGAGTATCACCTGCAAAATATTCACCTTACTATTAGGAGTAGCAGTGTCGGGGAGATAGCTCAGTAGAATAAGTGCTTCCTTGGCAAGTGCAAGGGCCTGAGTTTAATCCCCATTTCCGAAAAAAAAAAATGTATCAAATGCTGTGAAATTCATATTGGGGCCAGGGAGATAGCTCAGTAGAGTGAGTGTTTCCCTGGCAAGCACAAGGTCCTGAGTTCAAGCCCTGATACCGCAAAAAAAAAAAAAAAAAAAAAGGAACTATTGGGAGTAGCTAAAGTAACAAGATTTTGACTTGTGTGTAAGAATTTTGTATACTAATTTTCTGTTAGG